GTTTGGTCCGTTCCCTTCTCCATAATTAAAACTTGGAGATTTTTGTTTTTGCATTGATGAGTGGGATTATACTTGTCACCGCACTTGAAACACAACCCTAGTTCTCTCCTCCTTGGGATTTCAGCATTAGATAGGCGCTGAGAATGGCTTCCTTTCCTCGCTGTAGAACTCCAATTTGATGTACTCCTAGCCTTCAAATGCTCTGTTTTTGCTTCTGTCCACTTTGTGTTTTTGTGGAGGAAGACACTAGTGTTGTCGTGTGCTTGTTGCCTTCTGTCACATGGGCTACACTTGCAGAATATACTAGTTGGGCCGAATCAGTTCTTGGCCCATAATGAGTGTGTTGGGCTCGAGTTGCCTTAGACTCTTTACTTTTAGCCAGCATTTGATTTTTCTCATCAATACACACGGCCACCTCCATCAGGTCCCTCAGTGTGGTAATTTTGGTGAGTTTCAGCTCAGCCCTAGTTTCATCTTTTAGTCCAGAACAAAAAGCTCCAATTAAACATTCTTCTGAAGCTTCCCTTAATGGTGCTGACAATAACATGAATTCTTCTACAAACTCAAGCATAGATTTCTCTTGTTTAGCTGTGTATAACCTCTCATACTCACTACTTGGTTGGGAGGAATGAAATCGTCGCAACAACTCTTTTGAACTTAGGCCAGTTGCTTAGGGGGGTCCTTGTATCAAGCCACTGGTACCAATTTAATGCTTTACCTTCAAGACATACCATAGCTGCCTCCAGTTTTTCCTGTTTTGCTACAGAATTCACATGAAAATATCATTCGACTCTGAAAAGCCATCCAATGGGGTCCTCGCCTGAGAAAACAGGTAGCTCTAACTTTTGATACTTGCCACCTTCTGTATCGCCCCTTGGGTTAGTTGCAGAAGCCTCCTCATGATGATTTCCTTCTTGTTCTTCCACACGTGGCCTTGGTATCCTCTTTTCTATCTGCCCCACTGTTTCAGTAATTGCCTTCAATGTATTTTTGATGTCACTTACATCTTTTGTTAATACCCCAACTGTCTCCTTCAAATCCTGTACTTTTTGGTCAGCATGTTGTACTTTCTTGGCCATAACTCCTTCTCAATTTACCCAGAAATCTCACTGCTTTGATACCAAATAATGAGACCCAAACCAGTAATACAACAGAAACAATAATTAAGACAATAGCAGCAATAAATTTGAGAGGAAAATGCTGAGGTTTTTATATTAATGAGCTGAATGAACCGAATCAGAGTTACAAGGACACTCTTTGATTTTGGCAAAAACCCTATTTCCTCTGTAAGATCAAAATAATTCCAGCCACCAGATTACAAGCTTCAAAATAAGAGTTCCACTCCTACTGGCATTCGAGAGGCTAGTCTCTCCTCACAATCTCATCCTTCTTCTTTGCCTCCCACTTCCCAAGACATAGCCTACACACATCCTATACTACTCAAAAGATCCTAATCATGACAAAAGATCACAAATTACCATTCCTTACGGCTAGGGACTGAGGGATAAGTCCCTGGACCAGTTAAAAGTATTTCCACTAGAGTTATTTCTCCCCTTTGATTTCCTCTGATATGTCTTAGGAAAATAAGGGGCTCTATCGCATTTCCACACTTTAATAGGGATATTATTTGGCCTAGTGGCTCTATCATTTTACATTCCCACACTTAGTATGGATGTTGTCAAGTCCAATAAGGATATTGTTAGGTCCGAAGTCCAAACATCAAATTCTATTCTCCTTCTTGATTAACTAAATCCTCCAAGTCAATAGATGAGGCCCCTCCGTTATTTTAAAGTAGGCCTTCCATATGCCTTTAATATCACCATTTGTAACCAAAACTTTTCCTTTGTCATGCTTTATGCAATCTTGTAAATTCTTTATTATCCATCCTTTGTTCCAAGACCATTGTAAAACTCTTCATATGCTCCAGAACATGCCAATACCTTTTCCAATTTTCAGCATTATTGCACAAATATATGGTTCTAAAATATTCCTTTTTATGTTTGACTTTCTCCTATTCGTTCTCATTTTACCACCAAGACTTCTTTTCCCTTAGTCCAAAACCTTTTGATTCTCCCAAAGTTTCTTTAACAATCTTTCTTACCTTTTTAGCCTAATCCTTCCACAAGATTCTAGCACTTATCAAGGATCTTCAAATTCCTTCATCCAAAAGATTCCTTTTGAAAGTTTCTCGCTTCTCATCCTTTAACTGTCACGACTTAATCCTTGGGTTTAATAGTTGTTGGTGTTTTTGATGTTTACTCTTAATATCGACATCAAGGATAAGATTCCTTTTTTATGTTGTCACGCCATCCTTGGGAATCACCTTGTAATTGTTGCAAAGTCTTTCCATGTTCCTTGCTAGAAAGAAGCCAATTTGCGATCTTGAGGCTCCAATTTTGTAAGTAATGAGATGTTACTCTTCTTGAAGCAAGTGTTCATAGTCTTGAGATCATATGCCTGAAAAAAATCAAGAATAGAATGTCCTTTAATGTTAAGCTCTCCAAAACCAAAACCACCATGAGCCCTCGCATAATCACCAACCTCCTTACTAGCATGACTTTTAAAGTCTCCTCCAATTAAGATTTTCTTACTTTGTGGTATCCTTTGAATTGAGTGCTCTAATTCTTCCCAAAACAATTTCTTAAGATAGGCTTCTGCTCCTACTTTAAGGGCATAAGCACTAATAATATTGATAATATCATGTCCAATGATCATTCTTTAGGAAATAATTTTGACCCCAATTTTTTTACTTTCTACCACATTCTTTTCCTACTCCTTATCAACAATGATACCCACTCCATTCAGTGGTTACTTTCCTTGTAGACCAATGTTTGAATCCTACAATTTCAAAATAAACATATCCTCTAATAAAGGAGATGATAACAGCAGAATAAAATTGGCTAGGTACTAAACAAATGAGGAAATATTGTCATTGAAACAACTAAATATAAAAAAATTGGGAATCTAAAGATGGTAAGCCAAAGAAGCTAGAGCTGTAACAATTTCAGCTGCAGTGTTGATGCTTGCTTTGTTATGTAATATTTGAGCCCCTTACCTGGTTGGTTGTAATTGAGTATTTTTTTTAAGGTTAAGTGTCATTTTTGCCCTCAAATTATACTTTTAGGAGCACCTTGTGTTCTACATTGCATTGTGATACAATCTTTCCCTTGAACTTTAAAAATGGTGTAGTTCACCCCTACTTTTAAGAGAGGTGATGTCCATTATCTGAGCAATGTAGGGCCCACGTATTATCCATGTGTCATACACATGGCATCCAAGTGGATGCTCAACCATTTTTTTTTTAAAAACTCTTGCAAGGACGTATGAGAATCAGATCTAAGAACATGAACACATGCACACACACATCATGGTAACTATGAAGACCCATCCCCATAACATCGAAAGGAACATTGAAAATCCACTCTGGCTCATGTTTCATTGACTTTTGTGAAACCTGCCCACAAGACCCACAATTGGCGTTGGATGATGGTGCTTCTATCAATTAGTGATTGAACGATTCCAATCATTCGCAATTCATGACCTTTAATATCACCTCATCTATGAAGAAGGGACTCAACAAGATCAAGAATCATCTAGTCTTGAAGCTCAAATAGATTTGGCTATTGAAAAGTCTTATTGAGTCTTGTGAATATCAACCTAGACCTAGCTTCAATGGGATGTTGAAGAAATCGGCGAACAAGATGTTTGGTAACAAGAGACCCTTGTTGTTGATCTTCAAGCCAAAACTTGATCTTAAAATTTCCAATAAATTATTTAATCATCTTCACAATAACTATGTTCTTCCAGCCAAAACTTGGACTCTTCGGTGGAAGGTTTTGGATCCTTGGTTAATGTTGTGAAATTTAAATTTGAAATAAAATCAGTTCTGTCAATTCCAAGTTGTGAAATTGAAATGTGGAAAACTTATATTTAAGAAACAAACCTGATCTTGGAATTGGTGGGCAATGTTTTGTGATTAATGTTCTAAAATTTTTTGTTCTTCCCCTTTGCCATAAGTGCTTGTTGGATCTAGTGTATGTGTGCTTATGTCTATGAACTTTCTTGTCTGAGATCATAGATCTTGGAGTTGGTGGTGGGTGATCAGAGTTCTTGACTCAGTCGATGTAGGAGGGCTTGCAGTGGCAGTAGTGGAAGAAGTAGGTGGGTGGGGATTGAGTATGATGAGGTATTCATAGAAGCATATGGGACATAATCTAGTAACAGGCTCTTTTAGGTGATGGTCTTTGAAGGTGGAAGGTTGGTGTGGCTTATGGAGGAGGAAGAGCTTCTTGCGGTAGTGTTGCAGTTGCTTGTGAAGGTTGTGACTAGGGGAGATGTGAGGGTTCCTGACAAGAGATGAAGGTGTTTTTTTACTTTGTTGTAGGCAACAACAACAACAACAACAACAAGCCTTTATCCCACTAGGTGGGGTCGGCTACATAGATTGCAAGATGCCATTGTGCTTTATCATTTATCAAGCTTTTAGGAATATTATTAATTAAGAGATCGCATTCAACAACTTCCAAGAGTGTTCTCTTAGGCCTTCCTCTACACTTTGTTGTAGGCAAAAAAAGAAAAAAAAAGAGAAAAAAGATAAAAAAGATCCACATGGCATTCCAAATGGTAACTAATAATAGGTGGCATGCCACATAACCAATGAACAAAAAACCTTATACAACACCTGTCACGTTTTGTGGGCCTCAATCCACAGATTTAATGAACGTTTCCCTCTCTTAATGGCAAGGGTTGATTTGAACCCTTTTATTAAGTTTAAGGGGAAGGTTGTACCAAGATGAAGTATAGGACACTAGATGCTCTTGAGGATATATAGTTTGAGGGTAAGAATGACCTTTTACCCTTCTTTTTATTAGGTTTTGTATTTATAAAAAAGGATGATTTTGTTCTCCTTACACTTTATAAAATGTTTTCTTTTGAGTGAACTATTTCATTAAACTAGTCTTATTTCTCTTTTTTAAATTTGTTATCCTTATTGATGGCAGTGTGCTGTGGAGGACTTGGAGATGGCTGCAAGATCTTATGTGAATTCTGGATAGAGCTTGCATCTACTCCGTTTGGTTCAGTATTAGATACGTCTAAAATGTTTTGGCCAGTTTCATTCCACAAAAAAGCCAATCTAGAGCAGCAGCTAAAATGAGAGCGGTGAAGGTTGAAAATGAATATGGTGGGGATTTTGGCTTGGATTCTACTAAAGGAATTAATCTACAAGAAAAAAATGGAGATGTTTCCATGGGATCTGTCAAGATTGTTGTTGGTGCTGATGTTGATACATCAGGTAACTAATACTAGAGTGATAACTGCTACTGGCATTGGAATTTTTGCTTCCAAACTGTCAGAGGTTTCCATTAATGATGTGATTGATCCACTATGGAATGCCCTTACCTCTTTTTCTGGTGTCCGTCGCCAGGTAGTTATGTCTCTGATTTCTTTATTACAATCCCCCATGATTTCTGCCTTCTTTTACCATCCTCTAATATTTTTTTTCCTGTTACATATAGGTTGCGTCCATGGTACTTATTTCTTGGTTCAAGGAGATTAAAAAGAAGTCAATTACCTGAAAACCATAATATTATTCCTGGTGTCCCAAATTATCTCAAAGACTGGCTGCTGGACCTATTGGCATGCTCTGATCCAGCATTCCCGACAAAAGGATTCATTTCTTCCTTATTCTGAGCTTTCAAGAACATATTCAAAGATGCGTAGCGAGGCTGGTCAATTGCTTAATGCTATGAAGTGTTCTGGTTGTTTGATGACTTATTGTCATCTACAAAAGTTGATTTGGAGAGCTTGAGTGTGGATGATGCCATTAATTTTTGCGTCTCAAAAGTTCCGGCTTTGTCTGTGAAAGTGCGGGGAATGAATTCTTGGGAAGAAACATTATGGATGACATTGAGTCATCTAAACAGAGACTTTTGACAACTTCTGGCTATTTAAAATGTGTTCAGGTATGCTTTGAAAAACTTTGTCCTATCTTGAATTGGTTGATTGATATAAAACGAGATTTTTAAATCTCTTTCGTACTTGAAGTTACCCTGATAGATGCTTTTGTCATGCTATTTTCTGGCTAATGGGGCTATTTGCAGAGCAATTTGCACGTTACGGTTTTCATCTGCAGTTGCAGCTGCAGTTGTCTGGATGGCAGAATTTCCTTCACGCCTCACCCCCAATTATATTGCCTTTGATGCTTCAATAAAACGAGAGCAGGTGGCTGTCTATTTTTATTAACTTTTCTTGATAATGAAAATAGAGCGTGTTTGGTTTTGGTGGTTTCCAACCATGAAACCAACTATGCACATGGACAAAAGTTTCAATTTGCGATATTTTGTCCTATATTGCAGGAGGAAATACTGCAAATGAAGTCAGCTGAGGCACTGGCTGAGCTTATGTATCACTCTGTTGAACGTAGACCTTGCCCAAATGATAAATTAATTAAGAATATCTGTGGCTTGACTTGTATGGATCCCTCTGAGACGCCTCAAGCCGAATTTAATTAGATCATGGACAGCATTGATGACCAAGGTCGGATGTCCTTTGGAACTCCTGGCAGTAAACAGAGATCAAAGGCCCATGTGCTGGCTGGTGAAGATCGATCAAAGTTTGAGGGCTTTATTAGTAGACGTGGATCTGAAACTCTCACTGAAGTTTCTATGTGATAAGTTTGGTGTTTCATTGTTTGATAAGCTTCCTAAGCTGTGGGATTGCCTTTACTGAGGTGCTTAAGCCTAGCTCTGCTGAATCTCTTGCTGCTTCTGAAAAGGAAGCTGCTTTGGTTATTGAGACTGTTAGCAATCCCCAGACCTTGATTAACAATATTCAGGTTAGTTCTCTATCTTTTTTTTTTTTTAAAGGAAAATTTAAATTTTCAGGTTATTACATCAATTCTTTTATTAATCTGAAATTAAGACTTTATTTTGGTCATTATAATTTACATAAGCTGTGCGTATGCCCTTTTACTGTGGCATTGTAAGCTGAGATGAAATTGTCGTGAAAGAATGTTATTTTTAAACGTTGGGTAGTTACTGTCTTCATTCAAGATGAAGGGGAAAAATCCGCCTTACTAGAAATTCATAAAGATAATGCAGGGAGTGGGGGGTTCATGTTTCGTATGAATAATCGGGAATAACATACGAGATATTTTCTTTTCTAGGAATATTGAGTCATTTCTTAGTCTGGTTAATCAGAAACTAATACAAGAACCTGATAGGATCCACGATAGGTTTTAGGGAGACGGAAGACAAGACAAATCTATTAAATTATGAAATCAGAATCTAACTTGATAAATTAGTAAAGATGAAGGAAAATCTTTAGTAGAAGATAAGCAAGGATCTTAAATTCATATAACTAAATAAAAATGAGGTGGATTTCCACTAATATGAATAAATAATGATTTTTAATTCCACATGATTTCTGCATGCTATGAAGCTTGATATTTATTGCTAGAAAAATAACTAATAAGTCCTGAAAAAAACTCCCATTAATCCATAACTCAAATAATGGAGAGAATGGCTCCCTGAAAAATAAATAAATAAATAAACAAAATTAACTAACTTAATCTCCAAGTGTCATAACCCGCTACTACTAAACTCGGGGACTACTCACTACTCAGCAGAAAAGAAAAATAACCTACTTAAATAGAAAATATTCTAGTGGTGATTTGCAGATGGCACATCCAGGTTATTTGCAGATCTGAACTCAACTTATTTACCTATGTAGCATTAGTGTCTTACAGGTCATATCAAATATGCTAATAAAGAATAATGAATGTTCCTACATTTTAGAATAACTTTTCTACTAGCTGTGTTTCATTTCGGCCTTATGATTTAACACACAAGTATATTCAAATATAGTCAAATTAGGCACTCATGTTTTGACAGAATCTTTCTGAGCAAATTTAGAACTGATTCTTTATTAATTATTTGAAGGATAGGTACATAACTAGATTCTAACTCCTGTTGTGATGTACGGTAGAGTGAAAACTTTCAGGAAGTTACTTTTTAATTAGAACATGAGGAATAATAAAACCAACATTAACAATGGTTACAATATACACATGGAAAAGGAAGCCAGATTACATGTCCATCTCAACGAAGGTAAAACTAATCCTACATTTATCATAAATTTTGATAAATTTCCCTGTGTATATATAACACCGAAATAAAAGGGAAGTGTCAATATCTCCAAAAGGGAGGCTCACATCAATTGACACATTGACGACATGCATGTTCACCCTATGTAATGCAAAGATGGTAAAAAAATTAAAAAAAAAAAATTACTATAGATTTTATGTGTGCTGAGTTTTAAATTGACAAAAGAGAAGAAGGAAGGCAGTCAAAATAAACTAGCCTGCTCTGGCATGATTCGTTTTTAACCTTTACACTATTAGCTTTTGCGTGTGAAGCCACAGCAATATTGTGTGCAGAAGTAATTCTAAGATTATAAATTTTAGTAGCATAAGAGTGTAAAAAAGAACAAAGAAACCAATTCGATTAAGTATGCTGGTTGAAAAAAAAAAAACAAAAGAAGAAGGAAAAAAAAACATTCGATAAAGTATGCATACAAATCAGTAATAGTATCGAAGAAAAATGTTCTTCTAGTTTATGATATTTTGATCTGATTTGTTTATTTCTCCAAGCAAGCAAACACCACGATTAACAACAATAGATAAAGGATCCAGACGGAAACCTGTTAGTTGCTAATATCTCAGTGCTTGCAGCAGTACCTGCTCCAAAGCAGTATATGTTTGGTGCCACACATGTGTCTCTCGGTTTTATCAGCAACTATTAGCCTTCAGTGGCTGCCAACTTTCAAAGCAATCAATATGCCTTGCGAAGGAAAAATCAGCAAGTTAATAATTATTAATCATTTGTAATTAAATTATATATATAAGTCTAAATGAACTATCAAGTTACAGAAATTACAAAGTGTATTAACATCAATGAGAGAGACATCCAAGATGCTTCGTCATTTTGGCAATCCTTTCCATGGACCAATATTTCAGTAATAATTCGTCCCCTCCTGCCAATTTGCTTGTTTAAAATCTTTTCTGGTTCTGAAGTAGTTGGTAGCTCAGGGTAGTGAATGAGAGGATGTCATCGTTTCACTGTATGGTCTGGATAAAATCTTTAAGGGAGACGCATGGAATTGGAAGGTAGGATTTATTCAAGATCCAGGTGCTCTAATTTATAAGCAATAGCTCCAATTTTCTCCAAAACCTTGTAAGGACCAAAGTATCTGGGAGCTAACTTTTGTGAACTTTGAGAAGCTATAGAAATTTGCTTATAGGGTGGTAGTTTTAGGTAAAGCCATTGCCTAACAGCAAATTCTCTCTGTTTGGTGGCAATCAACCCTTTGCTTTAGATTTGCTGCCCTGTGTAAATGATGCTTTAAAACTCCCATCATTTGTTCTCTCGCTATGAAACTTCTATCTAGAATCTCTAATACAGAATTATGAGGCAAGTTGGGCATATCAAGAGGGGGGGGGTTTTCCTGCCTGTATAACAAGTCGGATTTGTTTTTGCTGTTGTGTGGAATGGTGTGTTATACCACCATATTGCTTGAGGTAACCACTTGCTACATCCCTTGGGTTGTACCCAGCACATGAACCTCAAATAAGTCTCCAAACACATATTCTGCCCTTCTGTTTGAGGGTGATCAGCTGAAGTTAATTTCTGATTTACCCTAATCACCCTTAGGAATTCTTGCCAAAAATTACGTACAAAGGTAGGGTTTTGATCACTAATAATTTCTACTGGAGCTCCATGTAGTTCATACACTTTGTTCATAAAAAGCTGAGCTAAAGTTGCTACTGAATAAAGATGTGTTAAGGGGAGAAAGTGGGCATAGTTACTTATCCTATCAATTGTGACCCATTATCTTTTCCATTGCATTTAGGAAGCCCTTCAATCAAATACATAGAGTTGCTCTTCCAAATCCTGCTTGGAAATGGAAGAGTTTGTGGCAACCCTGATGTAGCAATAGCTGTATATTTGCATCTTGCACAAGTGTCACATTGCCTTATATGGTCAGTAATGTCATTAATCATTTTCTTCCACCAAAACAAAGCTTTAATTCTTTGATATGCGGGATGTGGCATGAATACCTAAATGGCCTCCTTGAGGACTGGAATGAAACCACTCCAATTTCTGTTGTTTTAGAGTACGATCATTTCCATTCACCAATTGTGGCTTCCTCCTTAGCAACTCACCATCCCAAGTAATGAAATTAATTCTGTAATGACATCTTCCTGCACCCAGCTTGCTTTTATTTTTTCCCCAAAAGTTCAGGAGAAGTATCTAAAACCATCTTCATCAATTGTTGCTTTGGCATTCTAGGAAGTGCATCAGCCACTGAATTGTCATTCCCCTCGTGCAGGATTTCAAGTCAAGCCCAGCCAACTTAGCTACCCAAAAAATGTGAAATGACGTCTTGAGCTTATGTCCAAACAAGTGTTTCAAACTTTATTGGTCATATCTAATACTGAACCTCCTCCTCTCCAAGTATCAGTGCCAATATTGAACTGCTAGCACCACTGGCATTGATTCTATTTGATAAATGTAGTGATTTTGATGCCGAGGAGCCAATCCTTTGGTGAAAATTGCTATTGGCTGCCCTTGTTGCATTAATACAGCCCCCACACTAGTTCCACAAGCATCTGCTTCTACTACAGACCCCTTAGTTTCAGGTAATGTCAAATTCTTTTAGGTTTTGGAATGTTGTAGCTTCAGCACAGACCACTCAGCCATTTTTCTTGAGCAAGAGAGTCATTGACGTAGATAATACTACATAACCTTTGATAAAGCACCTGTAATAACCATGCAGCCCTAAAAATGCTCTTAATTGCTTCACATTTTTAGGTTCTGGCTACTTTTAGGCTACCTGAATCTTTTTTAGGATCTGTGTGCACTTGCCCTTCACTAATCATGAGACGCAGTACTCCACTTCTGTTGCAGCAATTGAACACTTGCGTTTTTTCATGAAATAATAGTTTTCTTGCAAAATTGTCAGCACGACCTTCAAGTGCTACACATGATCTTCAATGTTGGGACTATGAGCTAAAATATTATCAATGATAACTAAAACAAACCTTCTAAGGTGTGGCCTAAAGATGATGCTCATAGTTCCTTGGAAAGTAGCAAGAGCATTGGTTAAGCCAAATAGCATAACCAACCATGCACAATGACCATTGTGATATCCAGCCCTAAGATCAAGCTTGGTAAACCATCTTTTTTCACTCAATTCATCAAATAGGTTTTCAGCTAGTGGAATAGGGTTTGGTTCTTCACTATCGTCTTCTTGTTTAAATCTCTACAGTCAATGACACATCCTCTAGGTCCCATCCATCTTTTTTGACTAACATAGTGTTTGGTTCAAGAGTGGAGAGGGTCGGTTAATTGAGGGAAAGGGAGGGAAGGTGAGGGGTCTAGCTTTAATAAACTCATTAGGTTGAAAAGGATGGGAGGCATTTTAATCCTTCTTTTTTGGTTGAGAATGGTAGGGGAGATGAGCTAATTATAAATTGACAAATATGTTCATATTTTTTTTAATTACTTTTTTTCTATTATTAAAAAAATTTGTATAATTTTTTTTTAATTTTTGAATCTTAAAATTTTTTTTACTTTGTTTATTTATGACATTCGGCCAAAAATTTTATTTACGATAACTTCTTGTAATAGTTTTTTAAAAATGTTATTTGATTAATTTTAACCTATTATCTCATTAATTTTAATATACTTTTTAAATAGAACAATATATTTGGGTTGGAATTGAAGATAGATATGTGGCAGCTAGTAATGGATAGTCAAAGGTGAGATAAGAAGT